TACTCTTATCACACCTTTGAAGTAAATATTCCTTTGGAAAAGCTAATCTAACTATTAAGTGGTTAAATGGAACTGGGGTACTTAGACTCCTAAAATTGGGGGAAAATAACTGGCAGAGGCTAAAACAAATGGCAGAGATGAGAAACACCCCTTCCCCCCAATCCCTTAAGGGTACTGGAGAACTCTTGGGTAAGAGGTGAAATATAACATACAGGGCCCTCAGAGAGTATAGAAACAGGCTAATCCATATCAAATATGCAAAAAGACTAAAGGAGGGGTGCTGAATCACAGGATCTTAGAGTTTTGAAAAGACCCTAGAGGTCATCAGGTCAACCTTCTATCCAGTGCAAGAATTTCTAGTATTTCGGATCAGGGGTTATTCAGTCTCTGTTTCCACACCTCAGTGATTTTATTAGGCAGCCCCTTCCCTTGTTGGACACCTCTGGCTGTTACAGTGTTCTTCTTCAGGTTCATCTGAAGTCTGCCTTGCTGTGATTTTCACCCTTTGATCTCAAATCTGCCCCCTGGAGCAGTACAAAACTAAATTCTTGCCCTTTCTACATGATGGATCTATTTGAACAAAACTATTACATCCCCCCCTTTTTTTTTTGTTCTCTAGATGAAACATCCTTAGTTTCTTTAGTTGTTAATGATGATGATGATGATGATGAATAGTATGATGAAGATGAAAGTGCTATATAAGTAGCACTTTGAGATAATTTACTTTTTTTTGTAATACAGCTTTAAGACTTAAAACACCTTTTTTTTTTTTTAATAGCAAACTCCTGAGTTAGGTTGCTATCCTCATTTAACAGATGAGGAAACAAGCTCAGAGAGATTAAAATGACTTGCCCAAGGTCATATGACTAGTAAGTATTGTGGGGGGGAGGGCCAGTTTAGGGTGAGGAGGAGGCGTTATATCCGGGTTTTTTCATTCTCAGTCCAGTAATCTTTCTACTGTACATTGACACCTGTCCTGTTTCCTAGACCCCATATTGTTAGATGCTTAGAGAATTGGTTTGGGGAAAGGAAGATTAAGTTTGACTATGGATCTCCCAGGGATAGGCAATGTAATTGCTTTGAAGGTAATGATCAGATATGAAAAGAGAAGGTAAGTCAGAAAGGAGAGAATTTCAAAGGTGATTAAGTTTTGTGTACATAGACAGGCTTGTCTGGGGGACAAAGTGTAGATCATACTAATGATCTATGAAGGCAATCAATGATGACAATCAATATTCCCATTCCATCACAGGTTGTATGATGGTAAGGGGAAGGGGATGCCAATTGTTTTCAGTGCTCCCTCTTTCTGTGGAAGACTGACAATTAAGGTAAAATAAGGTATCAACAGATGCATGCTAGTTATAACAGGGGATCCTTGTAAAGCACTGAACAACAGCAACTACTATGGAAGAGCAAGTTTTTATCTGCCTGGAAGCTGGTTTTGCCACAAACCACAGTGAAGTGTCATGCTGACATAAAGATGATTCACTTGCCATGGGGCATCTGTAGAACTTAACACAAGGTCTATATCCTACACACACAGCTTTCTAACTGTGAAATTGCTCTTCCTCTATCCAAGAAAAGCAATGGCATAACCATGAGAACCAGCTCAAGATGCTTTGCAAAATAAAGTATAAAGAATCTGGCCCTTTTGAGAGATAAAGCACTAGGAAAGCTGGCATTTGGACCTCATAGCATCTGGTAGTATTCTCCTTTTTTCCTGTTTTGTTAGTATTTTGTATTGTTTGTTTTTCTTCCTGGGCTAGTGTCTTGTGTTCTTGTTCAAGGGAAATGAATCTAAGATAAAAACATGGAAGAATCTTAAAAATAATCTAGTCCAGTCCCTTTATTTTACATATCGTAGATTCTAAGAACTGAGAGAACTCAAAGTCCTTCTTGTCCAACTTAAACCTAACCAAGAATCCCTTCTATGTAATATGTACTGACAAGTGATCTGATCTTCCTCTTACTACCCATGTTGCCATCCTCCAAAATGCTACAATTTATAAATGTTCTTGCTAAAATGTGGCATCTAGAACTAAAGATAATACTCCAGTTGTGGTCTGATCAGGACTAAATATGACAGAACCATTATTTCCCCCATTCTGGACACTATTCCACTCGAAGCTTTAGATAATAGCATTCTGGGCTGTCATGTTACCCGATTGACTGATATCACGCTTGCAGACTATTAACTCCCAGATCTGTTTCATAGAGTTTTCACGTGCTTTTCATCCAGTATTTATGAAATTTATTGCATTTCTAGAACTCAGATATAGAGCTTCATATTAATTTCATTCTGAATTGATAAATTTATCATGAGCATAGTTGATAGAGGTGACCTTGGAACGAGGAGTCCACATCCTATCTTTGATACATGCTGCGTACAATTCTCTAAGAGTTTTCAAAGTAGTTACTAATTTGTATTGGCGTAGAAAGATCCTCACTGGGAATTCCCTACAGTAATGAAATCACCTATCAAGTTAAAAAAATTCCATTTAGTAGCCTGGCAGTATCTTTTTGAATCTTGACTTGATTGTTTAGTGTGTCAGCTAGCTAATTATGTCAGCTGAAACTGTGACAAGAATGCTTTCCATGGCTTCATTCAGGCTACTGATAAATATGTTGGCACAGGGCTATGGACCCTAGACTCCTCCCTCCAAGTTGACCTTGACCTATTATTTGAGATCAGGTAATTCAACCAGTTTTGTGTCCATCTAATTCTACTATCATCTAGCACATATACTTTCACCTGGTCCACAAAAATACATGATAGACCTTTCTAAGACTTTGCAGAAACTTAAGAATACCGTATGTCTAACAGGAGTTATTAGCCTGGGGGCCATGAATTTTTTTAAAAAAATATTTTCATAACTGTATTTCAATATGATTGGTTTTCTTTGCAATCTTATATACTTCATTTAATGCATTTAGAAATCTTCTTTTGAGAAGGGGTTCATAAATTTCACTAAACTCCCCCAAAATCCATGAAACACAGAAAGGCTGACTCTCCTGCCATACTATTCTAGTTCCTCTTTCAAATGAGTTTAATCTGACTTGAATTGTTCTTTTTTTTAATCATCATGCATATATTCATTAGTGAACTTTTTAGTATAACATATGAAAATAAAATGGTAAGATCATTTTCTTCAATTACAAGTTTCTCTTTATCTCTGCACCTAAGTAAATCGTTTCTATAAAGGGAGGAGAGCATCATTTACTTATCAGGGTGGCAAGGTAAGGAGTTTGGACTTGATACAGGATAAATGTGTGTATCATTATACCAGCTGTTCTTTATCAGCCTTCTCTACTGTCTCTTTAAGTTGTACTTGATGTTATTGACAGTTTTCTTGCAGATCCACTGATGGGATGGAACATTTTTCCTTCCACTTCTTGGCAAAGAATCCCTCGATCCTGTAAGTCTTAAGGGTGAAGAAGTGCTCAGGACACATGCCACAATGGCAGAGAAAATAAAAAGAAAGACTGGTGGAAGGACAGGGAAAGGTTCCCAGAAAGGGCATGATCTCTTCTTAAGGAACCCATGTACTCTTTCAGTCTACTCTTTCCCTTTTTAAATGCTCACAAATCATTCCTGAAATAATTACCATGTTCTGGAATTTTGTCAGGGAAGAGAGGCCAAGCTTATTGGCTCATTTGCAGACTCCACCTTCTTCCCTATTTTGGAAAATCAGGGCAATGTTTGCCCTCCTCCAGTCACACAAGAACTCTCTTGTCGACATGTAGTCACTGGGATATCATCTCTATCAGTTTTTTTTTTCCCAGGACCCCAGCACGCATTCCAACAAGACCTGGTGCCTTGAATGCATTGAGGACAGCTATGAGCTGTCTAATCACCTTCTCACTTATCTTACATTTTCACTCCTTATTAATCATTTTTGTTTCCTTTTTTTTCCAGTTCAAGGAACATTCTATTTAGAATAAAAATGAAGTAATGTTTCATTTGGCCTTCTCACTAATATCCAATAATGTTACACCATCCAACTGCAATCAAGGGCCCACCCCATCTTTAAACCTGATTTGAACCTCAGTGCCTGTGGCCTTCTCACCATACCTCCACTTCAGTGCCCTCCTTCTCCCACTAATGAGTTCTAACCAGAATCTCCATTTTGAGGAAAGGTCCCAGGCCAGACATCCTTCATTCCTCCCTTGACTCTTCTTCTGACTTTCCAGACCTCACCATTGTGCTCCTGTACGGGCATTCCTCACCCTATCCACATACACTTTTCCACTTCCTTTTATGTGTTGTCTTCCTCTACTAGGATGTAAGTTCTATGAGGGCAGAAACTATCCCTTTTTACCTTATATTTGGATCCCCAGAACTTAATACAGTGCCTGGTGCATAGTAGATTAACAAATCTTTGTGGACTGACTGACTGACCCTCCTCTTTGCCCCAACATATCTAAAAACCAAACCAATAAATTCTTTTGGCTTTCCTTATAACTACTTATCAGTCAGTTCATTTTGTATACTTTTTACTTTGGGATAGTAAGTTTCTTTTGTGAGTTTCTGCTTCTCTGTTAGCTGACTTTGTACTTGTGTGTATGTATATGTATGTGCACATATATACACATACACATATATGCTGATATATGTATGTATACATATGCAATATATGTATAGATAGCACAGTGGATAGAGTGCAGGGCCTGAAGTAAGGAAGATTCATCTTCCTGAGTTCAACTCTGGCCACAGATTCTTATTAGCTCCATAACACTGGGCAAGTCACTTAACCCAATGGCCTCAGTTCCTCATCTGTAAAATGAGCAGGAGAAGGAAATGGCAAATCACTGTAGTATCTTTGTCAAGAAAACCCCAAATGGGGTCGTGAAGAGTCAAACAACTGAACAACAACAACAAATATCTGAATTGTATAAACACACACATATGCATATATATACACCTATATGGCTATATAATTATATAATACATATATGTATATATAGCCATATGTGCATATATATGTGCACAACTCCTTTACCTCTTCATTATAATAATTTCTGCTTGTGTCTTCAAAACTTCATTTTTGAGAGGTTGTCATCCCTCTTGGTCTGATTTGCCCTGCAAAATATTAGGCCATTGGATTCTTCCTGTTCATTCTCCGATACTGTGGAATACGTTCTTTCAAAATCTAGGGTAAACACCAGATTTATACTCACCTTTTTTCTCCATTTCTTTCCTGAACTCCATGATGAGGTACTCACTTGTTCTTAAGTTTCTTGTTATTTCTATTTCAGCCACCACTTCCTCCATGTTGCTTAGCATTAGGTTCAGAATAGCAATTGCCCTTGTTGCTTCTTCCACCTTTTAAAGGGTGAACTAACCATTAAGACCAGTCACGTGTATTCACAATACAGCCATTGGTAGTGAAAGAGCTTAGGCAGATGTCCAAATTACTGAAGTTGCTCATTACTGCAATATCAATATCACCTGTCTATACCACATTTGTGATTGATTTTTCCCAGAACACCTTGTTTAATTCCTCCTGCCAAAATGTTCTGAAATATAGTCTCCTGAAAACATTACTTCTTTTTATTTCTCCATTGATCCTCACCCAACTGCTCTCTGTTATGTTCCACTCTAGTTCTCAGGTTAACTCAAGTAAGTACATCTTCCCAATATACAGTGCTACTCCACTGATTTTTTATCTATTCAACTAATTTCAAATAGACTGAGAAGGAAAACGGAGCCTAGAGATAAGTGACTTATCTAAGATTGCAAAGCTAGTAAAAAACAAAGCCAGCATTTGAACTCAGATTTTTTTATTCCAAATCCATGGCTATAGCTATGGTGCCCAGTATCTGTGAGATTTTAAGTCTCTGCTTGTTTGAATGTATCTGTGTGAAACTGGAGAGATCAGAGACAGATACTGAACTGTTGAATTTACAAGGCGTCAGCAAATAATGATGAAATCTGTTCTTAGCTTAGTACACAGTCTCACATTTAACAGTGTGTTCTGAGGCTCTCCTGTGTATAATGGAAGAAAGACAATTGAAAAAAGATATGGCACTATTGATCCAGGTAAAATCCCACCTTCTACAGGAAGTTTTTCTTGATCTCTCTTAATTCTGGTACTTTCCTTCTGTTGATTATTTCCAATTTATTCTGCATATAGCTTGTTTGTGCATAGTTGTTTACATGTTGTCTTTCCCATTAGACTGTGAGCTCCTTGACAGTAGGTACCATATTTTTCTTTCTTTGCATACCCCCAACATTTGTAGCACAGTGCTTGACACACAGCTGCTTAATAAATGTTTCTTGATCGATGGACTGACAGTGGATATAGGGAAATAAACATCAATATCAGGATTAATTTTACTTCTGTTTATAATGATGTGTCCCATCAAATGCCCTTCAATGATGAATATCATACCAGTTTCGGTACAGGTAACATTTATTGCCATTCTTCAAGAAAAGACGGCTAGGAATCATATCCCCTGGTCCTCTGCCTTCTCATAGGGCAACAAATAACAAATTGGTTGCCTTTTTCCAGATACAGTCTAGTTTATCAGTGACTATCTCCCCACACCCCACATTTATTTATTTTATTTATGGAATAAAACAAGCATTTCTATAACATAGTATAATTAAAAAAAAGATGATTGCACATGAAACTGCAAATCTACTATGTACAACTTGCTATTTCTTTTAAACATGTAATAAAGTTATCATGTAAATTTTTTTTCTCTTCACCAACACAGATCACAGCTCATTTATATTAGTGGTTGGTCTCTGAGAAATGCTTTGCTGAAAAAGTCATTACTCTGAAAATAATCTGATTTTAAGTCTCTCTGAACTTAGCTAAATTTGTCTTTGGAAGACATATTCTCCATCCCTGTATCCATAGTTGAATCTTTTCTGGCATGACAGAATCAGTACTTGCACTCTTCTGGTATATCTCAGTATCACCTCTTCCCCATGATGACGTATTGTGGGCATTAAAATTGTCCAACCTACGATAAAAGAGACTGAGGTAGAACTCTGAGCCAATGGCACTTTATTAAAGGGTCCATGGTTCCCTCTTATGAAATGGACCTCAGATCTTCCTCACAATCTGAGATGCCCCCTTCATCCAGGGCCTTATTTTTATAAGGCAGGATACTAGATTTGATACCTGAACACTCTAAAGGGGTTATACAAAGTACAGAGTTCCATTGGCTGATAGACTTTACTTCACAGGCCAAAAATGATGCATCAGCTAGAAATGGTATCTTGCGGGGGTGGTTTCTGGTCATCTCCACTGACTAAGTGGTTATAAGATCATTTTATGGTCATAAGCGAGCATAAGGTCATCTGCTCATGTTGGACAAGAGAGAATGGTCCAGAGATACAAAAACAAGTTGGAGTACTTTCCATGTAATTGAGCCACCTCCTCCATGCTGGGCTTGGTCACCATGACAAGGAAAAACAAGGGTAGAGGGCCTCTAGTTAGCTTCTTGTGATTAAGCAAGTGAGCTTAAAATCTGCAGCTCACAGCTCTGGGGCCTGGTATACAGAACTTATAATCACTACCTCTATGGAATCATATAAAATTGATTAATACTGATTAGAATAGAGTAGGGGTCCAAATGAATTATTTCTATAGTATTAAAGTAGCACTTTGGTAGAGAGTTTAGTGCCTGGGAAATTATATTTCCATTAATATGACTCAAAATTACATTAACATTTTAAGAACACTTATCACATTGTTACCTCATATTTAGCTTGTGCTCAGCTAAAAAGCCTTCAGTTATTTTTCAAACAAATTGCCTTCCAGTCAAGTCTCCCCACCTTGTACCTTGCAATTGATTTTATTACAAATTTAACTTTAAATATAACAAATACAATTAAACAGAATTCTCAGTTATTTACATGTTATTTCAACAAATCATTGATTTTTTTCTTTTATTAATATAAGCATTCAGGGAAATGAATTTGCTACTTTAGCTGTAGCTCATAAATTTTTATATTGTATTATTATTATTGTTATATTTCATATCAGTTTTGGGGCTATTTCAATAGTCACTCATTGCCTAGAATCAGCTTTCCCCCAATGACAGACAGACTAGAATTAATACTCAGGGCTTGTCCTCCAAAGGATCAGATCAGATTGGATCTCTTTTATTTACTATTCCCATCCCAAGTCAAGTCAAGTTAACAAACATTTATTAAATACTTGTTCTTGTCATTGTGCCAAAAAGAGTTCCTGTTCTCAAGGAGCTCTGAAGATCACACTAGTCACTATCCCTTTAACCATGTCTTACCCTAAAGACCAAATGTTTTTCTATATGGGGGTGGGAGGGGAGGGCTGAGTCCAGAGAAGCTAAGTGCTACTGTATCCTAATTGCATGTCTTTGCTGTATTTGATTTTTGGTTAAGTGTTCAGTAACTTTTGACTGCCTCATTCCATAATAACATCAAATCAGAGCTGGTGTCAGAGCTGCTTCTGAAATAAGTAAAAGGACCCTCACTTTATATCAGTGGGAATGGAATAACATAGATTTGTTCCTCCCCAAAATGAATAAGACAAAGAACTTATAAATACTCCTGAAGACTCACAAGTTGTTGTGGAGTCATTTTCAGTCACGTCCAACTCTTCATGACCCCATTTGAGGTTTTCTTGGCAAAGACTCTAGGATGGTTTGCCATTCGCTTCTCCAGCTTATTTTACAGATGAGGGAACTGGGTCAGATAGGGTTAAATGACTTGCTCAGGGTCACACAGCTTGTGCCTGAGGCCAGATTTGAACTCATGAAGATGAGTCTTCCTAACTTCAGGCCCAGCACTCTATGCACTATGGCACCACCTAGCTGCCATAAGGACTCACAAGTGCCCCTGAGCAAATATAGAAACACAAGGCCCATTTGATTCATTAGGGTACCCCAAGAAGGTCAAGACACTTTGTGGGACTTTTGAATAAATACTTGTCATTCATCTTAGACATATGCTGTCTGAACAATTCATAGCATCTTTCATGGAAGATTAATAAGATCCGGATTTCCTGTCCCTTTATGGCATGTCTTTTGTCCTTTAGCTATAGGGAAATTTTCTAATGATGATACTTTTCCTCCTCAAATATATGTACTGTTAAGGAAATTTTCCTCCCTTAGACAACCTCCTGAAACTTAGAAATTCTCAATCTCTTAGGAACTCCAGAATTTAGGAATGTTTGAACTTGAGATCAATCCCTAGATAACCCTCAAGGCTAGAAATTTCCATCCTCACTAGATTACTAGTCTCTAACCTATTCTTAGAAAAGGGAGGAAAAAAAAAAGGCAGAATGCAGCCAGGAACTTAAGATCCTTGAATGCAATGCTCAGACTTGCCTGGACAAAAAGAGGCCACTCTCCTCATACTTCTGCTGTGAACTACCATATTGTGTTCATAGAGTAGTGGGAAATGGAGAATTCTTCTTCCTAGCCCTTCTTTTCGCGGTACTTGTCTCAGAGGTCCAATGTTTTAAAAAAAAAGCACAGTTAAAGAAAAAGGGTTGGGTTGTATAATAGCTTGCTTTTATATACCACTGAGGCAAAAAGTGGCTCTTTCAGCAAGATCCTGCCTTTACTGCTAATCATCTTAAGAAGCAGCTGAAGTCCTTGGGGCACAGTTTCCTGTATCCTCTTTGAACAAGCTAAGGCATAGGTTTACTTCTATTGAAAGTGTCCTTCAGATTAAGGTCTATATCCTGTAATCTCATCAAGATGATTGGGGAATTCATAGAATTAATCAATAAATCCTGACCTAACCTCCTTTTCTTACATTACAACTTGGTTTTTGGCCCAGTCATTCTTCTAGAAAATGTTTTTATTATTATTGTTTGTTTTTAATATCAGCTTCATTTCCAGATATCTCTTCAACTCTACTCAACAAGACATTCCTTATTTTAAAAAAAAGAATAAAGAAAATATGAAAAAGAAGTTCAGCAAAACTAACACACGAACCAAGTCTAATAGTATATCTGATTATAGTGTGAGGGGATTGGAAATCCACTCCTCTCAATTAATATAGTCATGGAAGGCCCAGACAGCTTAAATGAGTCAATAAATCAATGGACATGATTATATTTTCATGTATAAGCTAGATATACTATTACACCTGTCTTACTATCCTGATGTGTGATACCATTCAGGAAAACTGGGGGCAACTGACAAAACAGTTGGAGTGACATCATCTAGCAAATTTAGAAAAAGGAGCCTCCTTTTTGGGGAGTACCATCTTGGCCTTGCAAAGGATATTTTGTCTGAGGAGTTAGCCCCATTTCATGCTAAGGAGAAACTTAAGGAGA